CAGGGGTGAGGACCTGGGGAGGGGGCTGCTCTGGGAGGTCAGGGGTGAGGACCTGGGGAGGCAGGGAGGCTGCTCTGGGAGGTTAGGAGTAGAGGAACTGGAGGGAGGCAGCGGTGACAGGTCCCCGGCGCCGTTCTGTGTGTTGGTCTCAGTAGGGGTCTCCCCTCAGGTGTCTCCCGGGGGACAGGACTCTCCAGAGGTGGCCTTCCTCGCCTGCCAGGAGTACGTGTGGGGAAGAGAGTGGGTTTCCGATCGGCTCTGGACAGAACCGTGGAAGAGCAAAGCCAGGCGCATCAGGGTGTCCAGAGCAGAGTCTCAACCTCCTTGGAACCTCGTCAGGAGAGTTTGAAAATGCCGCTGACTGGGGCCACCCCAGACAGAGGGCACTCACATCCCTAAGGTGCAGTCTGGACGCGGTACTGCGTGGAAGGCTCCAGGTGTCCAGGGCACAGACACGCTGAGCGCTCTGGTCTGCAGCTTGGGCTTCCAGTGCCCTCTTGTCCCTCAGGCCTTCAGCCTCCTGGCCCTTCTCCTAGGGTCCTCTGTGAGCAGCAGCCACCCCTGCTGTGCTGAGACAGCTTCCCTTCCTCAGCCGGGCTCAAGGGCCATCTGAGGACTGTGCCTGTGTGTTTAGGGAGGGGTGAGTCCTGGTCAGGAGGAGCGGGGGCTCTGAAGTCCCAGTTCCAACTCCGCCACTTAGGAGCTGTGTGATCTTAGAGAGGCACTTAATCCCCGGTGCTTAACCGTAAGATCGGGTGGTAATGGTGAGAGAGAGAGACGCTACATCCAAGCTGCTTGGTGCCGAGGACTAGCTCAGTACACGTGGCCATTTTTACACGGTCGTGGCTTTCCCACCCCTCACTGACTGGAAGCGGGAGCCTCGTCCATAACCACTTTCTCTGAGCACACGGTGGCTTGCATCCACGAAGAGCTCAACTCTTTCCCTCCAGTTTGCACAGCAGACGATACGTGAACACCCTCCACTTTTACAACTGAAATCCAAACACGTTGGCTGTGATTCTAATTTCCTAGGATGACCTTTGAGGCAACTGAAATAGGGCGTGTAACTTGGCACAGGACGTGGCCGGCGGGGTGGCTCGGCGTGTGTCCTCGTGGGGAGTGGACGGCCCACATGCTGCACTGAGCCCACCCCCCACCAACAAGAGGCGCCAAGTCCTGACCTCCAGGGCTCCAGGACGGGGCTCGTTTGGGAAGGGGACGGCGCAGGTCACAGGGCTGAGACCAGCAGGTGGGCCTCGACGCCCCCGGCTGGTGGCCTCCCGAGAAGACGGCCTCCGAAGACAGAGGTGGGAGCCCAGGAACACGGGGCCTGACCGCAAGCCCAGAGGGCCGCAGAGGAGGAAGGGCTCCCTATGGTCCCGAGCGCGCAGAGCTCCAGGCCGTTCCCACTCCCTGTGGAACTCCGTGGACTCCGGATGCGGCCAGTGGGACAGGCACATCTATCCTCCCCACATGCAGATGAGAAAACTGAGGCCCTGAAACGAGAAGGACCTCGCGGCAGAGCCAGACGTGTGCCAGAGGTCATGACCTAAGGACAGCTCGGCAAGGGGAGAAGCCATTGCAGGAGGCCTGTCTGTGGGGTGGGCAGGGACGGCCCCCTGCTCTTCAGGGGAGGGGAGGAGAACGGCCCTCAGTGACCCCTTGCCGCTCTCCTGTCAGGCACAGAGTCCATCGACCCCCCGCCAGCTCTGAGAGGTGCAGGAAATGGGAGAAGTGGTTTCCAGTGACAGTCACCGTGGGCTGGACACGCTGGCTCTGCTGAACCGGAGGCGCTAACCCAGACTTCCTGCGTCGGATGGCCTGAGCCTGGTTTTGTCCTCTGATGCCAACGGGCGGCATGGGACTCCCTGTGCACGCCGGCCCACGGCTCTCGTTGCTGCGGCAGAGGAGACCCACAGCAGGAGTCGGCTGACCTGCCGGGCAGTCCCCTGGGGACACGCGGCGGTTTGTGACTGCAGGTGCATTGCTGCTCCAGGTCTGTGGGAACCCACCTTCAGCTACGTGTTGACACAGAGGACAGCGGAGAGTGTCCACGGAGCGGCCTCTAACTGGGCATTCCCAAGTCTTGATCCTCTGCTCTGATGGCTTCCTGGCTGGGTGAGGCCGGACACAGTCCCACGGGGTCAGGAGCGCCAGCCCAGTCTCTTCATGCCATCACACTGAAGCCACTGCTGGAGTCTCAAGTCCCCACAAAGTGCCGTGTTCAAGGCTGGGAGCCTCTGAGAGGTGGGCCGTCACTCGGGCGTGCCCTCAAAGGACACTGTGGGACCCCAGTCTCTCTTTCTCCATCCCGGCTCCAAGCCATGAGGAGAGCAGTTTTGTTCTGTCACCCACGCCCTGCCACCACCGTCAGCACCCACACCAGAGGCCTAAAGGCACGGCCCGCCTGATCATGAACTTGAACCTCTAAAATCGTAAGCCAAAATAAACCTCTTCTCTGCATAAGTCGGTTTTCTCTGGTTTTTGTTAGAGAGATGGAAGAACACAGCAGAGGGTGGTGGAGCATTCCTAGATCTAGAGCCACAGGAGTGCGTGCCTGAACCTACCCGTATTCCCAGCTGATTTCCCTGAGCCTGTGTTTCTCAGCCTGTTTCTCGCTGTGCTCTCTCTACATCCTCACCCCGAGGAGGTTCGGCAGCCCAGGCACATCTGCTTACCTGACATGCATGATGTGCTTTCTAGGGGAAGAGAGCAAGTTCTTTGCTTGTTTGGGCTCTGTGGGGACCAGTATCCTCCTACTGAGAAAGAAGCTTTGACCAAATCCCTCCAAATGTTCATGTCCCCAAATGTCACTCAGTCCAAGGGGAAATGGGACAGAGGGTACCGTGGAAGGCCAAGAAGCACCTGACCGTGGGACGCATGAACGTGTAGACACATGACCGTGGGGTGGCCCTTTCTCTTCATGGTAGATCCTCTCTGCCGACAGGACTTGGTTCAGAGGGACAAAAAGAAAGAAAACCATGGGGGATGCCAGGACCCACTGCCCCTAAGGAGCCTGTCCCAGGGCGTCCTTGTCCCTTAGCCCTCAGAAGCAGTGCGGGCTCCAGGCCTGACGGGACCAAGCGCAGTCACATAGGTCCCCAGAGATCCCGAGAAGCCTGGGGGGCCTGACGTTCTCCTCGTTCTGGTGTGGCTTCTCAGACACAGCGACAGCCACTTCATGATAAAATTCTGTATTTTAAAAGACAAAGTTTCATTGTAAAGTGTGAGTTGACTGCAGCGATGGAGAGCATAAAGTGAAATGTGGTTGTAGCCATCACTGTGTCATGCTAAATATTTTGAGAAACAACTTTAAATTCATTTTTAAAATGTTTCAAATCTTGGCAAGAAATGAGCGCTCAAACCATCACCAGGAGGGAAGATGTTGGGCCTTTCCCCTCCTTTCACACAGCATCACCTGGGAAGGGAAGTGGGTCGGAAGGCTGCATCGTGGATACCACTGTGATGACAAAATGTGGTGTCTGAGGATGACCAGGGTCTCAGGTGGGCGGCCACTGAGTCCCCTCTGGGCAGTGGCATGCTGGTGGTCAGGGCTGGCGTTGGCCGACTGTGGGCCTGAGACCACTGTCCGCCTCGTAGAAGATCATCTACTGTTTTTACTTAAAATAGAAAGACAGGTTTCACTCTTTCCCCATGTAACAGTGAGTGGAACATTTAAACTGAGAAACTTAAAAAGAATTCCAAGATAAAAGAAAGTGAGACTTGAAATTTCTAAGTAGCTCTGGGTGTCTTTAGTCACAGTCCTCAAGTCGTTTCTCCTAAGGTGCTTTATCTTTGGTAAGCGTGCTCCTGCGCGTAGAAGGAATCTCACGCACAGGGCTGATGGACACAGGGCTTCATGGAGGATGTCCAGATGATTCTCGGATCACATTCAGTACAGAACATCTCCCACAGAGCCAGGCTGGCGCTCCGGGTGCCCAGGATGTGCAGCCCGACCGGGCGCCCGGCCTCCCCTGCCGCGGTTTCCTCCCCTGTGAAGGGTCACAGAAAACCAGTTTTCAGAAAGGCTGCTGTGGGCTGAATGGGTCAGCATCTGCCTCGTCCGTGTAGAGTTGGTCGTGTGGTCTGTGGAGCAGGAGGACTCACTGCTGC